TTTTGGTACAAATGATAAACAATACACGTAACATATTCCAAGCAAGAATATCGGTTTCTTAAATTTACGGTTTTGTAAAATTTGACTTTCAAAATATTATATTAGATGACGTTCATATCAGAAATTATAAGTCTATAAAATTTGTTGTTTCTGTGTTTGTTTGTTTTTAATTATGCACACAAAGCTAGACAAGGACTATCTGTGCTCTGCCTACCACGGGTATCGAAACCCGGATTCTAGCGATGTAAGTTATTTTTTGTGACAGAACACGTAAAATAGTTTAGATTTTTTTCTAACTATTTTAAAATGAGAAATCTAAAAGTTTTTTTAATGTTTAAGATTCTTTTGTTCTATCATTATTTTCAATAAACTGACATATTTAATTATTTGAAATTCGAATTATAATAAAACTGTTGTTCTTACCAAAAATTTATCACGAATAAAACAGCGAGCTTTGTTATATTCATTATCTTCCTCTTCATCTCGATCTAAAAAGTACAACATTGGAAAAAGTTGTTAAGTGCGAAATGAGACATTTTTCTAAATAATTGTTTAAACACTTTATTGGTTAGAATTTTACGCAAAGCTACACGAGGGCTATCTGCGCTAATTTAGTAGCGTAAGACTAGAGGGAAGGCAGCTAGTCATCACCACCCACCGCCAACTCTTGGGCTACTCTTTTAGCAACGAATAGTGGGACTGACCGTCACATTATAACGCCCCCACGGCTGAAAGGGCGAGCATGTTTGGTGAGAAGGAGATTCGAACCCGCAGATTGCGAGTCGAGTGCCCCCTAACCACCTGGCCATGCCGGGCCACAAACATTTTAGTAATATTCCATATAAATATCAAAAGTATTCTATATAATTACTCGATATTTATCAATTATTATTATTCCACAATCTCGCACCTACAATATTAAAAATTTCACACAATTATTCAATTTTTAAATACCATTATTGTTGGTTAGAGCTATGCTTAGCTAAGGTATTTAAAAAAAGAGTACTTTATAAATATACTAGGAAGTGTGAGTATTAGGAGTTAAGTAAACAAGGTTACGCGTATATGAAACTGAACATCGCCGGTTTGTTTGTTTCTTTTGAATTTCGCTCAAAGCTACACGAGGGCTATCTGCGCTACCCGTCCCTAATTTAGCAGTGAAAGACTAGAAGGAAGGCAGCTAGTCA